TTTATAGGCACCTTTGATCGACGGTTACACTCACGACAATTTTCTTCCATTATCTTCCCTTGCCTTGACTGCTACTTCCCTCATTTCAGAGGTCACCATTTGAATTCAAGGATAACCACCCACTCATTCAAAACACAAACTTTCACGTAACTGCCTCCCTTTAAATTTGAAAATTCATGTCGATTGACTTATTTCTTTCCACATTTACTAATTGTCCACAACGTGGCACACCATTTTGACAAATTCAGTGTGCGAACAGATGTCATTTATTATTTATTCACAAATATTTGTATAATAAAATACAACATAAAAAATAATTTTTATTTTTCCCGGTTTAAATCGTTTTAAATTTTTCTTTAAAATTAATCTGACGATTGATATTTAGGGTGACTTTTTAAAAGTACTTCTAGAATTTACAAAAAAAAATAGTGTTTAGAATAACTTTTTTTAATTACTTCCAAATAAGTCAAAAGTAGTTGCACTTAAATAAGTAAATAAAAGTTATATATCTATATAATAAAATAACTTACAATTCAAATCTAAAAAGATAAACAAAATGACTTTTACTATTCACGATTGAGTTCGCTTTAAAGTTAATCTAACGGTTAATATTAACACCTTATATTTAATAGGAAAAATAGGGTTCTAAGNGATTGAGTTCGCTTTAAAGTTAATCTAACGGTTAATATTAACACCTTATATTTAATAGGAAAAATAGGGTTCTAAGGGTGTGTGTAGAAAATTTTTTAAAAGTATTTTTAAAAATTATTTATCATAAATATTTAAAAAAAATAGTGTTTAAAACCGCCCTACCACTACCTCCACCACCGCCACTACCACCANTTTTATTTATTTTGCTTGGTATGAAGAAATTTTTTTAAAACAAAATTTAATTTATCAAATCTCATAAATACCCTTTTATTTGTCATTAATTATTTAGACAAAAGGTACATGTGGGTCCCACTTTTGTTTTGCTCACCTCTTTAACAACAAACATAATGTAGACCCCACATTTGTTCCTCTTGCCGTCACTCCAAAGAAAATAAAAAGGTAAAGATAATCGTTGTAATTATCAATACGTACAAAAAAAAAATAATAATAATTCCATATTGTAGAGGTATCTGTAAAAAATAAAGTACCATAGCATTACATGGCCAAATGAAAATTACAATGATATTCGTTTGGGACAACACTAGAGTATCGATTTTTTTTGTGGACTATTTGATTTTAATTTATTTATAGTNAAAGTACCATAGCATTACATGGCCAAATGAAAATTACAATGATATTCGTTTGGGACAACACTAGAGTATCGATTTTTTTTGTGGACTATTTGATTTTAATTTATTTATAGTCGTTAATCATAAAAATAATTAAACTATAATAAGAAACTATCAAAATTTGCATATTGGTGGAATATTACAAGTACTGNATGAAAATTACAATGATATTCGTTTGGGACAACACTAGAGTATCGATTTTTTTTGTGGACTATTTGATTTTAATTTATTTATAGTCGTTAATCATAAAAATAATTAAACTATAATAAGAAACTATCAAAATTTGCATATTAGTGGAATATAACAAGTACTATATCAAAAAATATTACTTTTTAGAAATATTACGTATTTGCCTTAGATTAATATTTCGAGCAATAACTTATACATTTTCAGTTGAATAACATATTTGATTAAAAACATCGCATCTATTGCACAAAATTTTTGAGATAAATGATAGTAAACTTTATTAATATTTTAGAGAGATCAATTTCCGAACTTAATACTAGAATACATACTTTGGTCCNTTAGATTAATATTTCGAGCAATAACTTATACATTTTCAGTTGAATAACATATTTGATGAAAAATATCGCATCTATTGCACAAAATTTTTGAGATAAATGATAGTAAACTTTATTAATATTTTAGCGAGATCAATTTCCGAACTTAATACTAGAATACATACTTTGGTCTCTAATAAAATCTGAACTTGTTATCATTTTGGGTTTGAAAAATTAGTACCATACTACTTATGATATTTATTCTTTTAAGTAAGGTAAATTTTGAGTTACACTCACCTTTTACATTCACTTACCATTTTTTAGATTAGTTTACTATTTTTTTTGGGTGGAGCTTATCAATTTCTTTTTAGTAAAACTTATTACTCTTGAGGTTTTTTTTTTTTGAGTATCGTACTGAAAAGTAAAATTTCGGTACCATAATTTCTATCTGTCATTCTATGTCTGAACTCTAATAACACATCTCTTCTGATAATCAGTTAAATAAAAGTGAAAAGTCACAAGTAAATGCTAGAGTGCATCTTTGTTTTAGTTTCTCCCACACAACCAAACAAAGGGGTTTTCTCTTTTATTCTTTCAGGGTATGCAAAGCTAAAGTCTGCAAGTTATCATAATCATATTTATTGGGAAGCTAGCCAAAGACCCTTCATGACTATCATTTTTTTTTATTTTTTTTAAGTATTGTGGTCAGATATATTCGAGTTAATTTACGTATATTTCGAGTAATTTTTTCATCGGTCTAGTCAAAGACATTCATGTCAGAACTAAAAAATTTATAAGAGATAAATTTCTCATGATTTAATCACAAGGAAATTGTCTTGTTTCAAATTTAGAACATCTAAATTTATAATCCGTTTCTGTCTCCATTAAACTACCTTAAATTTTTTCGTGAATTCCACGTGAAATAGAACAAGGCTATGCTATAGCAAAATTTTCTTTTTTGGGGCAATATATTAAAAAAATAGATTAAATGTGGTTTGATTTATTCATAATCATTATTTATAGAAAATAAAATAAAAGAAAAGAAAAGAATAAATTTTTTTACACTTATTGTGTTTTGTACTCGACAGAAAAAAGAAACAGTACCAGCAATAATATTTTGTCGCCCCGGTTGTCCCACAGCACATCAGCTTTGGAGACCCCTTGTACTATTTTCGACATCGTTTGTTCCACACTCCACCAGCTTTTCATCTTGAAAAACATCATGTCAACTTAACCACCAAAAAAAAAAGCAATAATTATTATGTCAAAGGTTGTTTTTGTCTTGTTTTCATATTAGCATTAGCATCATGCGGTTGGAGAATTTTAAGATAACGTAAACACCTATGATGAATTTTGTCCATTCATGCCAACGAAGAGCTGTCTAAATCTCTCGTGAGTATTCTATTTTTGACGTGATTATACTGTCTTTGACTAGATCGAAGAGAATACTAGTCAAAATATGTGTAAATTATGAAATACTTTGAACCTTCCCCAGCCTTCGCATGCAGTTTACATAAATGGTTCTTTCCTATTTTCGTCGATCTGTCAATATAATCTATTTCTAATACGACTTTCTGTGGTTTAGTCTCCAAATTTCACCTGTAAACTGTTTTTGATCAATCAATATGTCTGTTACACTTTATACCCCACTTGTATACTCTTTTTATCATATTTTCTTACCCTATCTATGTGCATGCACCCATTATCTCTTACATTTAAAGCCCTATCTCAATCAGAAACATCAGATTGCTAAAAACTCACACTTCCCAAGCTAGTGTCAAAGGAAAAGATAGTAAAGAGATGTCTTTTTTCATATTACATATGTAAGCTTTAATACACGAAAGTGTAAAATGGGAGGGACATGTGCTCAGTACAGATAGTATAAAAGATAATGTGATCACCTTCGGAGAATAGTCTTTTCCCCAACGATTGGACCCAGTAGAATGATGATTAAGACTGCAAACGTTTGAATAACTAATGGTTTGGCCTAGTATGACAGTGCTCAAGCTTGATTAGAATATATATAATTATAATGATAGGCAAGGCTCTAGTTAAGGTTCGTGAGTTTGAGTTTAAATCTATCGAACTCATTTTTTTAAACGAATAGAAAACTTGTTTAATATTAACTTATTTAAAAAATGAATCGAACCTGAGTTGAGTCGAGTTTGAGTAACTCAACTATTTTATATATAAACGAATCTAAAAAATTATTCAACGCAACTCGTTTAAAACATGAGTTGAGTTCGAGTAACTCAGCTCAATTAACGGACCTAATGGCAAGTCTTAACATATTGTTGCTAGGNCTGCCACCACCGCCCCCACCACCGCTACCGCCGCCCCCACCACCATAGCCGTCATCGCCACCATTACAAATCGATATTTCAATTCATTTATCTCTTCTCTATATTTGTGTTTAATTTTATATATGAATACAAATATATTTCTTGTTTACCCTTTTTTATTACTATGTGCCTTTAGGCACGTACAATAACTAGNTCCTTCTACAAAGAGATTTTAGGTGATTGTGTCATTTGAGGTTTAATTGTCTTGTTTTAAGACTTCTTCGTATGAAATTAATCGATAAAGTTTGAAACAAGAAAGATCACAACAAAGATTAAGAAAAGGGAAANTTCTTTAAAATCATTTCTCTACAAAATACTTCATCACCACCACCGCTGTCGCCACCCCACCACCATCATCTCTACCACAACCACCATCACATCCCGTCACCACTCACTATCACAACCCATCACTGTCGCCACCTACTATCATCCACCCCCACTGCACCAACCACCATCATCCGTCTTTGCACACCACCGTCGCCACCACTGTCACCCAACCCCACCAAACCTACCACAACCACAACCACAACCACCGCCTACCACCCTCGTGGCCCACTGACCACTACCACAACCCCCACCACCACTGTCGTCACCCGACCACAACCACTGTTGATCACTATCATTGTCGCCCACCACCACCCACACCAACCACTACCATCACCATTACCATTCACGACTGCCACCACAATCATCATCATCTCTCACCACCACCACCACCACCACCACTACCACCGTTCACCTCCATTACAACAGGTGCTCAAATTTCTTTTCTTTCCTCTGTGTTTGTAATTTGATTTTGAATGTGAATACAAATATTTTACAATTGACAATTTTTTTTATTACTTCATGCCTTCGGACACGGGCAATAATTAGTTACAAAATATGGTCCAAAAACATAAGCTTAAATTTCGGATATTTCAATATTAATACGACCATCCTTCATATTTGGAGATGAGTACATTGATTTAAAACTTATAGATGGAATACAGACTTGTTCATCTTCAACACTGGTATACAATTAGCTTCCTGCATTGCATACCTCAACAAAGATGGCCATTTATCGACTCGAATGTCGAGTGGTCATACAAGAACCGGACTCAAACCAGCCGAGGGTTGGAAACTGGCAGCATATCGCTGTGCCCACAAGTCATAATGTATGATTTCCTCAACCGAAGGCGAAGACAGCAGCTCTGCCTGATGCTTATCAGATGTTAGCTCCACGACCTTAAAAATGTCCAGGAAGCTGATCCTGAAAACAGGAAAATAACCCACCTTTAAACCATTAAGCAATTTGGGTTCTTTCAGGTGGGTTCACCAAATCGGGTTCCAACTATCTCAGCAGCCATAAAACTAACACNACGACCTTAAAAATGTCCAGGAAGCTGATCCTGAAAACAGGAAAATAACCCACCTTTTAATCCATTAAGCAATTTGGGTTCTTTCTGGTGGGTTCACCAAATCGGGTTCCAACTATCTCAGCAGCCATAAAACTAACATGATTGATATGTAAAAGTAAGTTATAACGAGAAGAAAAGACAGCCACAAATAGTGAACTCATTTGCAGAGGGTGAAGCTACAGCTACCAAGAATATATTCCATTCACCGTCAAACTAAAGGAGAAAAAGAACCAAAAATTAATATTTTGACACATTCAGATGATAAGTAGAACAAAGTACATACTTTTCATCGNCTACAGCTACCAAGAATATATTCCATTCACCGTCAAACTAAAGGAGAAAAAGAACCAAAAATTAATATTTTGACACATGCAGATGATAAGTAGAACAAAGTACGTACTTTTCATCGATAATTGGTTCGACAGCTTTCTTGATAGCTGCACTAAGAACTCCAGTCATGGTGCCTCCAGCTCGGCCAGCAGCATATGCCAAATCCATGGATGGGTATTTCACATTGTCAGGAACTTTAAATGTCAGCGACCCAAGCCTGTTTCATCTCATTGAAGTTTTAATCATATAAAACCAAGTAAGAATCAACAATATAGTCAAATGCTTTTCATGATTTTCATCTCACGTTTAATTGCTATGACTATAAAATTTGTGTAATAGAAGGCTACTGTGAAACAGGTCAATCAAATATCTATATATTTCCCACAGCAGAGATGCACATCATGGGAAATGGTCAGTCTGTCTCAGGAAAAGCCTCCCCAGTCCCCACACGCAGGGCAAGGATGGGAATATCCAACTCTTTCGACACCTCGTAGTGGAAGGAGTCTCGTATAATAGCCCGCCTTCTTTGCATGATATTAAATGAGTATCCACAAGGAACTAAATGCAGACCTTGATAGACACATATGAGGCATATGGAATTTGCATACATTTGCATGAGCAGTTTACAATGAGCATAAATATCATGAAAAAAGTGATCAATTAGCTAAATAAGTTTGTTATGATAAACCCAGATAATTTTAGCCCCTTCCTCATCTACAGTCACTTATTGACAAGTAGATATGCAAAAAATGACGTGCCAATTTGGTATTTTATAAGAAAGTAACTTTTTCAAAAAAATTCTTCTTTCTATGGAACAAATAAATGCTTTAGAGGATCAATGAACATTGAAATCAGTTGTATACATCTATTCTTGAACAAGAATGTAGGCATATAGAAATAGTATCCTGACAACTTGGATTAGCGTTTTGCCGTTATCAAAAATGAAGTAACTCAAGTTATAACGGAACTTCAACTTTGAAGTTTACCTTCATAAGCAGTCCAAGGATGACAGAATATAAACCAATTTAAAACTTCAAATAGAAAGGTGAGTGTGCTATTAACTTGCAAAGATCAAGGCGGGGCCAAGTAATCTCAGAGCAGTAAATTCTGTCTGGCCAGGATAATGNTTTAAAACTTCAAATAGAAAGGTGAGTGTGCTATTAACTTGCAAAGATCAAGGCGGGACCAAGTAATCTCAGAGCAGTAAATTCTGTCTGGCCAGGATAATATGTAGAGGATTGGCAGACGCATATCAGATCTTCCCAACCGTGCAAGGACAGATGAATCCTGCAAAGGGGGAACAAAAGAAACAAAATTCTAAGCAGTCAGATTCGAACTATAGTGCACCTCACATGTCAAAAGTAAATAAGTTCATTGATGGATAAACAGGAACCCTTAGACATAATTGAAGGCCATGACAAGTCAGGACAGGAGTTAAACCTGTATCTCAACCATTGAGTGTATGATAGACTGGAGTTGAATAACAATCTCAGTTTCATCATATGCTGACCCATAAAGATAGTGAGCTTCGATAACTTCTAGACCCTGTCAAGATGGAAAAGAACCCATTATACACTGTCAGACAAAAAGGATCTGACCACCAACTACTCAGGCATCAGTTCATAACTGGAGCTGTTTATTCAAAATATAACATGATTTCTTTTTTTGGGGGGAAGAGAGAGAAAGAGAGAAAGGCACCTGGAATGAAAATGTAGGCAACGGAGGGAAATTACCTTATTGAAAAGGGTAGCAGAGTTCACCATAATCTATTTCCCCATTTTCCAGTTAGGATGTTTCAAGGCATCAGCTACTTTAACTTCTTTCAGTTTATCAACCGGCCAATCCCTGTCATCAACCATGCAATCAATGTTTAACTCGTTTCGAGAATGGACCCATGCAAAATAAAAATCAGCACAAGCGAATTATTTTACATAACATGATAGATAAAAAAAGTATATGGGATACAGCAAGGAAAAGGAAAGACCAAACCAGGAATTTATCAATGTATGAACAAGAGCTTACCAATTTTGAGCAACTTATAGATTATTTGGTGATAAAATGATGAATAAAATTGAACTCTAAAATGGAAACCGTGATCTTCACTTAACTGAGGGTTATTGCATTACTATGATATTGATAGAAATGAAACATAATCAAAGATGCAAGATATAACATGAACTTTACCTCACTCAGACATTGCAAGTACAGATTACTGTATATATTAGTGAAAGGAAGCTGAGAAATAAGGGGCATGTTTGGATTGCATCTCAAAAAACAGTATCTGAAAATAATTTTTGAGAAGAATTTTAAAAAAATATTTTTGAAAATTTTTAAATTGCAAAACCTGTTTGGTTATATATTTTTGAAAATAGTTTTAAAGAACAAAAAATTATAAAATATGTTTGGACAATAATCCACAAAACTAATTTTTAACTTATTACTTTTAACCAAAAAAAAAATCACATTTTTTCTCTCCAGCAGTCACCGTCTAGAGTCTTCTTTCTCTTTCTCTCTGTCTCTCTTTCTCCACATTATCTTCTCACTAGAACAGTCACACACACAGGCATACATACACACAAAACACACACACACACATGCAGACACACACATATACACAGACCCACACAGATCTGTAACTGTTGCGAAAGAGAGAGAGGGGCAGATCTGAAGCACAGTGGAGAGAGGGGAGAAAGGGGCAGATCTAAAGCACAGTGGAGAGAGAGGAGAGATAGGCAGATTTGAAGCACAGTGAAAACGCCGGAGAAGAAGACGCTGGGCATAGTGGAGAGAGGGAGGAAGGAAAAAAAAAGAAGACGTTGTTTGCTGCTAAGGGGGCTCGAAGCTGCGACCTCATTTAGCTTGTTTACCTTGTCTCCATGTTTCCAAAATTTTCAAAGAAAACTGTGAAAACAAGTTTAACTTATTTTCTATTTTTATGTTCTAAATCTCATTTTTTTTCAAAAATTTAAGAACAAAAGTCCTAAGCAAATAGGATTTGGGTGTTTTTAATATTTTGAGAACAAAAAACAGTTTTTGAATCGCAAACCAAACACGCCCAGATGTTCAGAATTGCTTATTTATGATTTTCAATGTTGCAAAGATAGAATACATGCTCGAGGTAGATTTCCAAATCCAAACAAAGAGTTTATATCCAAAATTATGGCATCATCCCTAAAAGCTCCGCCAGATGCAGTTAAAATAATGCGCCTAAGAGCACCCTTTGGCAAACCTTGAAAACACTGAAGATTGAAATTTTCGTTTAGCTAGTATAATCAGCATGGAGTACATAAGAATGCAGGGCTATGCAAGTGGCAAAAAAAATGAATCCCATGGTAATATGCTGGCCTTCACAACAAAAACAATTGAAATTCCTCCTACACAAGTCTTCTAGCATGAACTTATCTATCGACAAAGTTGTGTTTTGCATCTTTTGATACCTGGAATATAGCATAATGATCTGAATCGGCAGGAAGAATTTTCACTTTATGCTTTGCGCAAGAGGAAGGACAAAAGGACTGACAGCAATTAAGGTCTCTTTATTGGCCAAGGCTATGCCTTTCCCTGCTTCTATGGCAGCCACTGTAGGCCAACAAAGAAAACTAACGTATATATAGATGTTTGTGAATGTACAAGGATGTACAATGAAGGACTTAAAGAGAAATATCGTTCCTCATTTTTTAAATAATATATCATTATATTGATGTTTCAGGCAAAACTTAATGTGAATAATCAAACTTAACCAAAACATCTTGCCTATTATACTTTTGGATGGATGCTCATGCACCTGAAATGTTATAGCTGAAAAGTCCATAAGAAATGAGAATTCCCAAAAGAGACTACAGGTTTACCTGCAATCCTGCGCTACCAACTATTCCTGTTACTACAGTGACAGCATCCGGGTGGCGAGCAACCTGAAATTAGTTTTTTTTTTAAGCAATGACCACCAAGAATGAGTTCAATTTCCATCAGGGAAAAAAAAAAGTTGTAAAATTGATGGTAGCTAACTTCAATAGCGCCCTGCTCTCCAGGAATAATTTCAGGCATGTGTTCCGCATCCGCCAAAGCCTCTTTGAGTTCATCAACTAATGACTCATTTTTGACAGAAACTAATTGAGGTTTGAAGGTCTTGACCTGTATGACGAAAATGTTGATGATAAGATTCCAAAAATTGATACAATTGCATGAGTATTTGCTTTGTAGAAATATGAGAACAGAACTACACATGCTAATTATTATGAGCTATAAAGCATGGACATTCTTGAGAACGTGACGTATCCGTGTCGGATACCGACACTCTTCGAACACTCTCGGACACGTGTTCAATACTATTTTATCCGTATCCATAATTAAATGATAAATTTTTAATTTTGGACACGTGTCAGACACTTGTTTGATGACGTGTCTGACACTTCTTTGGAACGTGTCTACTAATAAACAATAGACATTTGTTGAAATGTGATTAACAAAACTTAAAAATTTGAAAACATATAATTACTAATACTAGACATATTAAAGTTGTACTCCAAATATAATAATAAAAATAAAAGATGCATAAAAATTTTAAAAAAGAGGAATTGAGAAAATGAGGACAATTATTTAAATTATATATTAGGTATACATTGTCTACAAAAAAAAATTGATAATTATTGACTATAATAAGGATTTTTTAGTCTAAAAATTCACAAAGATGACTANAAAATGAGGACAATTATTTAAATTATATATTAGGTATACATTGTCTACAAAAAAAAAATTGATAATTATTGACTATAATAAGGATTNAAAAAAAAAAAAACTTCAATGTTCCAAATCACGACAAAACATAAACATCCACTCACCTCTTGTTCACAGCAGGAAGTAGAGAAGTCTTAGCAGAATGTATTAATCAATCCATAAACCAATGTTGAGTGAGTGAGAGAGAGAGAGAGGGAGCGGAGCCAACTTTGGGGGAGGGTGGGCACTTGACGATCCCACTTTTGGAACATCTATATAATTAATACATTCAAATCTAAAAAATAAATAATTTTTTTTTTGTTTTTTGTGATTAAAATTTTTTTAAATTTTATTTTAAAATTAATTCGATAACTAATATTGTGATCTAAAATTTAATAAAAAAAATAAATCCTTAAGAATGTATTTGAAATGACTTTTTAATAGTGACTCTTAAGACTTATAATTTTTTATAAATACTTTAAGAAAAAAATAGTATTTAGAACCACTCTGATATCAGTACTATCCCACCACCACCCCCACTACCATCACAACTGCCACCACCATCATCACCACTGTCGTTACTTTACCACCACCTCTACCACAATCACAATTACTATTGTCGTCGTTTCCACCCCACCACCACCTCTATCTCCATTATCACCAGGCCCACCATCATCGCCACCACTATCTTCATTAATATTGTCATCACCCTACCATCACTGTTTATATTTTACCATCACTCCTACCACCCCACTCTATCCTCCACGACCATCACAACTACCACCNCACTATATTTGCAATAAATTATATAATGTTATATATAAAATATAATTTTTTTGTAGCTTGTCCCTAACGTGTCCGTGTCCTACTTTTTTAAGAAATGTCGTGTCGGTGTGTCCGTGTCGTGTCGTATCCGTGTCCGTGTCCATGCTTCTTAGATTATGAGCATAGGCAGATGGTTATAAACAGTAAGGCCACTCTTGAAAATATGAAAGTTGGTTCAGTATCATATTATTCAAATGATGGAATACCAATTCACAGATCCTTAAGATGCTTCAACTGCTACTACTGCCACCTCCATCAACCAACAGTACAATTGTTCTTACTAGTGACATAGTGACGTGGTATTGGTGATGACAATTCCGGTCATTGCCAAAGAGATGAATTGTTGGTGGAAGTTGATAGTTCTTAGTTATTAATTACTTCACCTTAAGGATTTTAAAATAACTTCTATGTCAAGAGATTTTGTTCTGGATCTGGGATTCAAAATTACTTTGTCGAACACTCCAGAGGATTTAAGAATCCCCAGTTTCTTCTGAACCAAGAATCAAATTTTACACAGAATTACCAAATACCTTTGTGCCCTCAAATCCTTCCAAAAAATCAATATTTCTCAAAAAATAAAGGGACCAAGGCAACAGATTGCAAGGATGCTGGCACTTTTTGACATTTAGTTCAATGGTTTGTCAGGCAACTAAACTCAGGTTTCTGCAGAACAATTAGGCCTACTCAGCATTGGAAATAAAATTGAATGATCACCTGATCAGCAAGAAGAATGACATTTGAACCAGCCGCAAGTGCCAAGACTCTGAACTTGTCTGGATTCTCCGCAACTATGTCCAATGTCTGTATGGTACCAACACATACTTGTAAGGAATAAACGAAATTTATAAACACAAAGCACATGCATGCCATTAGTTTGACCAAAAAACAGCCAGAGAGAGAGAGAGAGAGAGAGAGAGGATTGAAAGCAAATTTAGGAAAAAAATAAGGCCTATTCCATCATTAGTTGGGTTGAAGCCACGAAAATTGACTCATTTTGTTATCAAAATAGGCACCAATGCAAGACCATCAAATATCAAGAGTAGTTGGTTTCCAATCAAATTAACAGCACAAGTTCTTCACCTGAGTACCAACAGAACCAGTGGATCCAACAATTGAGATAGGCTTTGGACCATCAAAAGTCTTACGATGAGGCTCAACAACAGCCCGCCCTGGCCAGGCTGGGGGAGGAAGCTGTGCTGAACAATGTATTCTCTTCCCATATACCACTCCATTGGCCTTCCTCTTCAAAGCAAATCCACCTAAAAGAAAATAGAATAATAACAGATACCCTTTTTCTTCATAAACCGAGGGAGGAAGATAGATACGACATTTGCACTTGCAGAGCTGTTACAATTGAATCTAGCAAATTGCAATAGAGGAATTCATTGATTAAATTGAATTCAGCTCAACCTAATACCAAAAAAGAAGGCGGTTTTGCAGACCAAAGCCATGAATTTTTGAGCTACGTCAAACCCATTATTTATTCCGAATTTATATACAAAATCAATCACAACACGTTCAAATCAGTATCTATGAACAACCCACTTTGAATAGTCCCAAAAAAAAAAAAAAAAAACTTCAATGTTCCAAATCACGACAAAACATAAACATCCACTCACCTCTTGTTCACAGCAGGAAGTAGAGAAGTCTTAGCAGAATGTATTAATCAATCCATAAACCAATGTTGAGTGAGTGAGAGAGAGAGAGAGGGAGCGGAGCCAACTTTGGGGGAGGGTGGGCACTTGACGATCCCACTTTTGGAACATCTACATAATTAATACATTCAAATCTAAAAAATAAATAATTTTTTTTTTGTTTTTTGTGATTAAAATTTTTTTAAATTTTATTTTAAAATTAATTCGATAACTAATATTGTGATCTAAAATTTAATAAAAAAAATAAATCCTTAAGAATGTATTTGAAATGACTTTTTAATAGTGACTCTTAAGACTTATAATTTTTTATAAATACTTTAAGAAAAAAATAGTATTTAGAACCACTCTGATATCAGTACTATCCCACCACCACCCCCACTACCATCACAACTGCCACCACCATCATCACCACTGTCGTTACTTTACCACCACCTCTACCACAATCACAATTACTATTGTCGTCGTTTCCACCCCACCACCACCTCTATCTCCATTATCACCAGGCCCACCATCATCGCCACCACTATCTTCATTAATATTGTCATCACCCTACCATCACTGTTTATATTTTACCATCACTCCTACCACCCCACTCTATCCTCCACGACCATCACAACTACCACCATCGCTGCAACCATCGCCACCCCACCACTACCACCATTGCGCCATCTCCAATCCCACCACCCTCACCCCACCCCCNGAAGATAGATACGACATTTGCACTTGCAGAGCTGTTACAATTGAATCTAGCAAATTGCAATAGAGGAATTCATTGATTAAATTGAATTCAGCTCAACCTAATACCAAAAAAGAAGGCGGTTTTGCAGACCAAAGCCATGAATTTTTGAGCTACGTCAAACCCATTATTTATTCCGAATTTATATACAAAATCAATCACAACACGTTCAAATCAGTATCTATGAACAACCCACTTTGAATAGTCCCAAAAAAAAAAAAAAAAAACTTCAATGTTCCAAATCACGACAAAACATAAACATCCACTCACCTCTTGTTCACAGCAGGAAGTAGAGAAGTCTTAGCAGAATGTATTAATCAATCCATAAACCAATGTTGAGTGAGTGAGAGAGAGAGAGAGGGAGCGGAGCCAACTTTGGGGGAGGGTGGGCACTTGACGATCCCACTTTTGGAACATCTACATAATTAATACATTCAAATCTAAAAAATAAATAATTTTTTTTTTGTTTTTTGTGATTAAAATTTGTTTAAATTTTATTTTAAAATTAATTCGATAACTAATATTGTGATCTAAAATTTAATAAAAAAAATAAATCCTTAAGATTGTATTTGGAATGATTTTTTAATAGTGACTCTCAAGACTTATAATTTTTTATAAATATTTTAAGAAAAAAATAGTATTTAGAACCATTCTGATATCAGTACTATCCCACCACCACCCCCACTACCATCACAACTGCCACCATCATCATCACCACTGTCGTTACTTTACCACCACCTTTACCACAATCACAATTACTATTGTCGTCGTTTCCACCCCACCGCCACCTCTATCTCCATTACCACCAGGGCCACCATCATCGCCACCACTATCTTCATTAATATTGTCATCACCCTACCACCACTGTTTCTATTTTACCATCACTCCTACCACCCCACCCTATCCTCCACGACCATCACAACTACCACCACCGCTGCAACCATCGCCACCCCACCACTACCACCATTGCGCCATCTCCAATCCCACCACCCTCACCCCACCCCTCCTCTAATACCCCACCCCCTCACCCTCACCATCACCATCATTGATTGCTATCATTGTCATCCACCAACATCACTCATCACCAGCGTGATCTCATTTTTACATTTATTGTCACTATCACCATCATTCCACTATCACCNCCCACCTCTACTACCCCACCCCCTCACCCTCACCCTTACCATCATTGATTGCTATCATTGTCATCCACCAACATCACTCATCACCAGCGTGATCTCATTTTTACATTTATTGTCACTATCACCATCATTCCACTATCACCGTCGTCCACTGTCAACACCCACCATCACCATAATTGTCCACCACCACTCATCGTTGCCCACCATTCTCTATCTGTCACTGTCACCCACACCTACCACCACTCCCTTGCCCACCACATTTACCACAACCGTCGTTTGCTACATCCCACTATCATAACAACTGTCACCACCACCATCACCACTGTCGCTACTCTACCACCACCTCTACCACAATCATAACTACTGTCGTCGTCGTTGTTTCCACCCCACCACCACCACCAGCCCCACCACTATCTTCATCAATATTGTCGTCACCCTACCACTACTGCTTCTATTCTACTATCACCCCTACCACCCCACCCTATCCTCCACGACCATCACAACTACCACCACCATTGTAACCGCCGCCAACCCACCACCATCACTGGACCATCTCCAATCCCACCACCCTCACCCCACCCCCTCACCCCCACCATCACTATCATCGATTGTTATCATCGTCGTCCACCAACATCACCCATCATCGTCGTGATCTCATTATTACATTTATTGTCACTATCACCATCATCCCACTATCACCGTCGTCTACCGTCAGAACCCACCATCACCATTATTGTCTACCATCACCCACTACCGTAACTTACCACCACTCGTCATTGCCCACCATTTCTGTCAGCCACTGTCACCCACACCTACCACCACCCCCTATTATCGCCCACCACATTTACCACCACCGTCGTTTGCTACATCCCATCACACTGTTATCCAAAAACACCTGTCGTCTACTATTGACCACCACTACTAACCACCATCATTGTCACCACTACCACTCACACCCATCACCATCATCGTCATCACTCATGATTGTCACTACTATCATCATCACCGATGAGGCTATTTGTGTGATTTGAAGATAGACTTGAGGCGATTTAGTGTGGGTGACAACGAGAATTGGGTATTCAAGAATTGTGGTTTCAAAAGAAGCTTTTGCTTATCTACTGCGACATGCTATCCCGTTTAATTCAACAGGGTAACTTATGCTCCGTTTTAGTAGGGAGGATGAAAAGTAGGAAGAATGGAAAGTAAGAAAGATACGTTTTTCTTCCTTTGTGTTTGGTTGGATGGATGAAAAATAAAAATGATAATTTTTTTTTTTGTGCTAGCTAAGATTAGGGGTGACAATCGAGTCGTGTCGTGTCGTGTCAGATTCGTATTAAGTCATTATGGGTTTGTGTCAAATATTAGTCAAACTTAACTTAACTTATTTAATTAATTGTGTCGTGTCGTGTCGAATTGCGAATTGACCTGTTTATTTTCGTATCGAGCTCAAGTCGTGTCATCATGTTGAGTCTAAAATTTTCACCTTAGTAAAGATGGAAAAAATATATTTTTTTTAATTTAAAATTTTTATTTTTATTTTTATTTTTATTTTATTTTTTAATTTTGTTATTTTATATTTAAGTTTTATTTTTTAATATATATANGATACGTTTTTCTTCCTTTGTGTTTGGTTGGATGGATGAAAAATAAAAATGATAATTTTTTTTTTTTTGTGCTAGCTAAGATTAGGGGTGACAATCGAGTCGTGTCGTGTCGTGTCAGATTCGTATTAAGTCATTATGGGTTTGTGTCAAATATTAGTCAAACTTAACTTAACTTATTTAATTAATTGTGTCGTGTCGTGTCGAATTGCGAATTGACCTGTTTATTTTCGTATCGAGCTCGAGTCGTGTCATCATGTTGAGTCTAAAATTTTCACCTTAGTAAAGATGGAAAAAATATTTTTTTTAATTTAAATTTTTTTTTATTATTTTTTTATTTTTTAATTTTGTTATTTTATATTTAAGTTTTATTTTTTAATATATATATATATATATATATGTATATATTACCATTGTATTTTTATATGAAATTAATGTATACATAATATATGTATATATAAAAAAATATATAGATAAATAAGATACATCTCAACACAAATAAATAACTCTCCATCTATTTTCCTTCCGATTTTGGAGAGATTGATTTTGATGAGTTAGAAAGAAAGTTAATTCATCCACTTTTTCATCCTCCCTACTTTCCTTCCTTATCAAATATGATGTTTTATTTATCCTTCCAACTTTCTATACTCCTATTTTTCCATCGTACCAAACGGAATATTNAATTGTGTCGTGTCGTGTCGAATTGCGAATTGACCTGTTTATTTTCGTATCGAGCTCGAGTCGTGTCATCATGTTGAGTCTAAAATTTTCACCTTAGTAAAGATGGAAAAAATATTTTTTTTAATTTAAATTTTTTTTTATTATTTTTTTATTTTTTAATTTTGTTATTTTATATTTAAGTTTTATTTTTTAATATATATATATATATATATATGTATATATTACCATTGTATTTTTATATGAAATTAATGTATACATAATATATGTATATATAAAAAAATATATAGATAAATAAGATACATCTCAACACAAATAAATAACTCTCCATCTATTTTCCTTCCGATTTTGGAGAGATTGATTTTGATGAGTTAGAAAGAAAGTTATTTCATCCACTTTTTCATCCTCCCTACTTTCCTTCCTTACCAAATATGATGTTTTATTTATCTTTCCAACTTTCTATACTCCCATTTTTCCATCGTACCAAACGGAATATGAGAGATCTAGATGACACTCAAGGTGTTCCGTTTGTTTGTGTATTTGGGAGATGTATTTATGATGTTTGAAAATATGCCACAGAGATTTTTGTTTATTGGAACTCATTGATTGCCGGGTTTGTTCGAAAAGACAGTCTTTGAGGCTTTTAAAACTTTTACGAGAACGCAAAA